GGAGAGAGAGAGAGAGAGAGAGAGAGAGAGAGAGAGAGAGGGGAAGTTTTGTGTGTTAGAAGGAAGGGAGGAGTGTGTGGGGGAGGATTATATTCTTAGAAGACAGAGAATATTAGCAACATGATTTCTATATATCAGTGTCAACTTGTTATTTTCAACTGGGTCAAACATTAAAATAATAAACTCCATACATAAATCATATACCATAGCTTAAGTAATCAGTTATAGATTTAGAGTAGAAAAATCATATTGCATGTCATCTTCACTAGTATGGATTAAACATATTTCTTAAACAAACTATAAATGACAGCTTTATTTTAAAAGATAAAATAACTTTAAAAAGAGTTAAAATCTGGACAGTTTAAAAGGGATACTTTTATTAAATAATCTTATTAGTATGAAATGTTCTTTAAAGGTTAAGAGATTTAGATTGGGAACTTTGATAAGTGCTCAAATCAAAATACAATTCTTCTGTGAGTTTTCAGACATCACATAAGAAATCTGTGATAATTAATACAACATTGATCAGTAAAACCCAATTAGAAACAGTTATGCCATAGCAAACAGAAATGAATTACCTCGTCTTCTCCCATAACTCCTTGCTGCATGTAAACAAAGGACAAATTGTAAAATGTCAGAACTAAAAATAAGCCCACATATACAAATATTTGTGATATGAAAAGTTGTGTGGGCATCTGAAAAATTAGTGCTACTTTGTTTTCAAAGCTACAATAATACCAATATATAACATATGCATGATGTTTTACCATTTACAGAGCACTTTTATTATATACCTCACCTGAACTGTATAAAAACTGTGAAATTAAAAGGAAATAAACATTTTATTCTCATTTATGTTAAAATTATGAATAAGTATTTGTTTCATCAGAGCAGGATAGGAATATGTAACACTTTACAGTTAAACAGCATCACAAATAATTTTTCCAATGAATGGCAACAATTTGAATTAAATCCTCATTTTCCTACTTATTATATATAGCATATATAGTCCAACAAATAATTATTCAGATTCAATTCACATTATACCAAACCCTGCTTGGAAAAAGTACTGAAGACACAGTAAATAAATCAATCCATATTCAAACTTGCTTAGTTGAAGAAATTATCAATGACATACTATAGCTAATAATGTTTTCTATTCTTTTAGTACATTTTATAACAGCTCTCTAAAGTGTTTATGTCTTTACATCTGAGAATAATAGGGATTCAGATACAGACTATTATTGGTTATTATCATAGAATAGTAGGTATGTTAAATACTGTAAAGTATAAATTAGTAAGACATTTTAATCTGTGACTAGCAGTTTATATAATTCCTTCTGAAGAAAAAAATACTGCAATTTATTTTTCATAAGAAACTACCAGTTAGATAAAATTCACAACTCGTTTTTAAATAACTCCTCCCCCCAAATCTGAGTATATACAGTAAGTACTTTTACCCTGAAATTGATATATAGAACCAAGGCAGTAAACAAAAAATGACTGTTGAATTTCAGATCTTATTTCATGTTCACAGTGTCTTAGGCCTGGGAAAAATTGATATTGAATAAACTCAAATTGAGATATATATTACAGTTATCAGAAATGTCTCCTTAAAAGTATAAAACTTAAAGACCAAAAGAAAACATTTCATCTCATTAAATATATTCTACTAGAGGCCCGGTGCATGAATTCGTGCATGGGGCAGGGGGGGGGGGGGGGGAGGGGCCAGGGGGGTGGGTGAGACCGCAGGAGGTTTGCCGGCCAGGGGGGAGGATGGATGGAGGTTGGCTGGCCGGGGGAGGTTGGGACTGCAAGAGGGATGAAGGGAGGTTGGCTAGCTGGGGGAGGGACTGGGGGAGGTTGGCCACTGGCCCCAAGAAGGGAGCCGGCCCTTGGTCCCCCTGGGAAAGGGGCTGCATCCACTGCCACCCACCCCCGGTTTCCAGTCCCAGCCTGGGCCCCAGGGCCCCAGTGGGGTCGGGAGAGGAAGCAATGGTTGCTGGGCCAGGTGCGGAAGAAACAGACGCAGGTCCCAGACACCCCTGCTGGCGCCCTGCCACCACACGGTTCCCCGCCTCCTCCCTCCCCTTCCCTCACTGCCACACCCACCACTGTGGCAGGCGGGTGGCCCCCAGGGAAGTGAGAGGACTGGAGCAAGACAAACTCTGTGTTGAGCGCTGCCTTTCAATAGATCGCAGCAAGGAGCTGCTCTGATACATACGAAACCCTGACCCAAGCAGGTCTCTATGAATGATTTAGCGCCAGGGGCTGATTGGTATTATCATAGAATAGTAGGTATGCTAAATCTTATAAAAGTATAAATTAGTAAGGGGGGAGGGGCCATGGGAGGTTGGCTGTGGGAGCACACTGACCACCAGGGGGAAGCTCCTGCGTTGAGTGTCTGCCCCCTGGTAGTAAGTGAGCATCATAGCGACTGGTTGACTGGTCGTTCCGGTCATTGGGTTGTAATGGTCACTTAGGCTTTTATATATATACTAAATTCCCGGTGCACAAAAATTTGTGCACTCGGGGGGTCCCTCAGTCCGGCCTGTGCCCTCTCACAGTCTGGGAACCCTCGGGGGATGACCACCTGCTGGCTTAGGCCCGCTCCTCGGGGGAATGGGCCTAAGCTGGCAGTCAGACATCCCTCGGGCAGCCTGGGAGCCCTCAGTGGATGTCCACTTGCCAGCGGGGAGCAGACCTAAACTGCAGTCGGACATCCTTAGTGCTGCTGAGGAGGCAGGAGAGGCTCCCACCACCACTGCTGTACTGGCAGCC